ACTATACAGTAACAGTAGTAGTAATAATAACAACAACAATAAAAATACCCTGATCTATGTGGTGATTTCAAAGAAAATGGCACCCATAGGCCCATAGAGAATGGCACTATTAAGGAGGTGTGGCCTTGTTGGAGGAAGCGTGACAATGTGGAGGCAGGCTTTGAGGTCTCCTATGCTCAAGCTATGTCCAGTGTGGCTCATAATCTCCTTTCGCTGCCTGAAGATCAAGATGGAGAACTCTTAGCTCCTTCTCCAGCACTATGTCTGCCTGCATGCCAACAAGCTTCCCACCATGAGGATAATGGACTAAACCTCTGCAACTGTAAGGCAGCCACAATTAAATGTTTTCCTTTATAAGAGTTGTCATGGTCATGGTGTCTCTTCAAGCCCTAACTAAGACAGTCTGTAATCCCAACTACTCAGCAGCTGAGGCAGGAGGATCATAAGTTCAAGACATCCTAAACAACTTAGTAAGACTATGTCACAAGATTAAAAAAAAAAAATCAAAAGGGCCTGGGAATCTAACTTGCATTAAGGAGTCCAATCCCAGAACGGGGGGAAGGAATATATATATATATAATGGTATGATATCTAAATTTGACATTTCCCTGCCCTTTTCATTACATCCATCATGATTATTACTTTTGGTGGTCACTAATTCACTCTCTCCAAGAAACAAAGACGATGTGAGAAGACTGACTGCTGGGCATCACCCTATTCTTCAGTGAACCGGAATCCCCTATCAGATGGAGTCACACTCATGCCTATAAGTAAGTCACTACTGTTGACTTGGAAGAAATTAGAGGCAAGTACTTCATCTGCTCACTCAGCCCGAGTGTTCCTAACCCAAAATGCAGCACTCCAGCAGGCCAAGAGAAGCAGTGACCCACCCCCTGCCCTCCGGGGCAAGGCTGTGGTTAAAACACAAGTGAACTGCCAACACCACACAAACTAACTTCTGCATTGTGGACATGGTGCATGGGAAACATGGATGGATGTTGTGTTGACAAATGGGTCCCCCTCTCCAAGACAGAATGCAGTATGTCAAAATACTCAACCTGAACCTCTTCTGCTATGTTTTCTGCTCTGTGTTCTTTGGTATACATACAAGTGTGTGTGTGTGTGTGTGTGTGTGTGTGTGTGTGTGTGTGTGTGTGTGAGAGAGAGAGAGAGAGAGAGAGACAGACAGACAGACAGAGAGACAGAGAGACAGAGACAGACAGAGAGACAGAGACAGAGAGAGAGCTTTCTCCCTTCACCATTTTTTATGTTGTTTTTAAGACAGGGTCTCACTTATGTTGCTCTGGCTAGCCTGGAACTCACTATGTAGACGAGGCTGGCCTCCCCATTTTTTACAATGGAAAATAAAGCTCACATCATCTGCGTTTCCACTCTAACTCCAGCTTTCGTTTTCCACTTCCAATGGATGCACCACTCTTTGCTTGTTTTTTGCTTAGCCGTGACACACACGGTCAGGGAACAGTTGAAAATGACCTTACTATGATAATTCTTTTCCCTTCTCATGTCTTTTTAGTGAATCTTTTTTTTTTTAAATGGTGGTAAAAAATTAATTTCCTTACTGGGAACTCAAGCAAATTATCACAGAAAGAAAACCATCATTCTCAATAGTGTTGAGTGATCTTCCTCCAAGCTCTGTGCCATGCCCATGTCTCGGGGCACCCTCACCTCCAACACAGACCCACTTCTATGAGTGCTTTGAAGAACATGGCTTTAGGGAAATTAAGCCAAAGTCAACAAGGCAGATCAAGTGGATGTTCTTTGATCCTCTGTTCCACGCTCAGAGAAGACAGGTATAATACTGGGGTTTACAGAGTCTCCCTTTCCTGTTGAAGCTCAGAGTGGGTATACACGGCACTGCACAGCCTGGGCCACCGGGCTGCTACCCATTTCGGCATGGTCCTACTCAACAGTGATCTCTCTGGGTCTCATTTGCCTCTACCTGCTCAGGCAGAGATTGGAGGTAGCCTCAGAGGCCTAAGTGACTCCGGCAAAGCAGCAGCACCTCAGGGAGACTGGACTTAAAGGGAGATCACTAATTCTCTGTGAGGACACGAGTTGTAACTTTGGCTCTGAGAAAAGAAAATAAGGGAGGAAAGTAAAACAGAAAGGGAAAGCGGGGAAGGAGATGACAGTGTTCCTACTAAAACAGTCCGACGGAGAGAGAATGGAACTGTAAGGTCTTTGGAGAGAAAAAACAAAACTGTGTCCTGGCATGAAACTGGACATCCAGGGCCATGGAAGAATGGCAGAAACGGAAAGAGACGGCAGGGGCTAGACGGGAGCAGGGCTGGGGAGGGAAGATGGGGGAGAGGCTGAGCTCACAGCAGCCTGATCCATCCCTTCAGTGGATGTCACCAAGCCTGAAGGGGACCAGGTCCTCAGTGTTAGTCTAAACTCAAACAACACGTCGTCTTACCAGAACTGGCATTTAGAGACTGCCATTGCCTACATATCCTCTATTCCTGTTTTATATTCAATTAAAAAAAAAAAACAAGAACTATACATTGGAATTGGAATCTCAAATTCTAGACTGCACTGAAAGGCTAACTCATCATGAACAGTCGAAAAACGTTAAGGATGGAAAGGAAGACAGAAAATGTCACTGAGCACGTGGGCAACCTGCGGCCCTGGTACATGGCTGCTAAGCAGGTAAAAGGTGCAGTGCTGTGGACCATGATTGTACCTTCCCTAAAAAAGCCAAAAGCTGTGATCCAGCAGCTCCACTCTCAGCTACATACCCCCAAACCTGAAGCTAAGGATTTGAGCTGACACGTGGATGCCAATCAGCCACTGCACTATCACTCACAAGGGATGAATGGAAAATAAAGTGTGCTGCCTACTTGCAATGGGATATTACTTGGCCTTAAAAGGGAATGAAAATCTGACACATTGTATCACACAGATGAACAGAGAAGACATCCTAAGTGAAATAAGACCAGAACAGAACACAGGGTGAGACCTGTGTTTTGTTGTTGTCTATTTTTTATAGTTTTTGTTTTTGTTTTTGTTTTTTAAAGAAAGATTATCATGTAGCCCAGGCTGGACTCTAACTGGCTGTATAGCCGAGGACAACTTTGCACTCCTGATCCTTCTGTGTTCAACTCCCAAGTGCTAGGATTAAGGCACCCATCATCATGCTGAGTGAGGTTCATATAATTTTTGCTTTTATGTGCAGGGCATAGAATTGGCAACCTAGAAGAAGGTATAGACAAGATCACGGAGTGGGAGGAGATAGAAAGTGAATGTTTAACAGGAATAGAGTCGAAGAAGTTCTAGAGGCCAAGAGTGGTGATAGTGGAGGACCCCCTGATCACATGTCACACCACTGAAGTACACTTGCGAAAACAGTTAAACAGGCAAGGTGTGTGTGTGTGTGCGCGCGCGCGCGCGCGTGTGCGTGTGTGTGTGTGTGTGTGTGTGTGTGTGTGTGTGTGTTAAGCTTATGAGTGTTTGCTTGTATGTATGTCTGTGTACCATGAGAGTGCCTGGTACCCACATATGATTGAAAGAGGGTGTTGGATGCCCTGGAACTGAAATTACAGATAGTCACCCTCATGTGTGTAATGGGAATTGAACCCAGGTCCTCTTGAAGAACAGTTGATGCTCTTAACTGCTTGGCCATCCTTCCATAGCCTTGTTATGTATATTTTACTACAACCAAACATTGGAATAAACAACATTTTAAAAAATAATAATAATTTAGCTTTTTTTTTTTTTTTTTTTTTTTTTTTTTTTAGTTAGGGATAGGAATGGGTTAGTAACTGAACACAACCTTGATGGCCAAGCTTAGGACTTCCTGAGGTAGGAATGACCCTGTCTCTCTTGCTCTTTGATGGTATGCCAGAAGCCAGGCTGAAAGTAAATGTCCTCAATCCAAAGGAATAAAAATGGCGCAGTGGGTAAAATGCTTGACATGCAAGCCTGAGGGCCTCAGGTCAATCCCCAGAAACCACATACAAGCCAAGGGGGGCAGTGCACTTCTGGAACCCCAACACTGGGGAAGAGAAAATAGGAAGATCCCCGGGGCTCACTGGCCAACCAGCCTATCTGGAATTCAACAGGTTCAGTGAGACTCTGCTCAGAAAATACAGACAGTGACAGAGAAAGACACTGAACATCAACCTCCAGCCTCCACACACATATGAGCATGCATGGGCAAGTGTACTCATACATGGGCATACATCACACACACACACATACATACATACACACACACACATTCACTCACACACATACACTAACACACACATATGAGAACACATGGGCAAGTGTACACATATGGGCATACATCACACACACATGCACACTAAACATATACACACACACACACACACACACACACGAGCACATGTTAAGTGTACTGATACATTGGCATACATCTTACACACACACATACACACTAAACACACACACACATGAGCATGCATGGGCAAGTGTACTCATACATGGACATACATCACACACACACACACACACATACATATGAGCATGTTTTAAGTGTACTGATACATTGGCATACATCTTACACACACACACACACACACACACACACACACACACACACACACACACATTTCTTTTAATGGAGAAACAAATAGGTTGGTGAAACATTACCGGTAATCCCAGTGCTTGGAAATGGAGGCAAGAGAATCACTATGAATTTGATGCCTGCCTAGGTGACACAGTTAGTCCCAGACCAGCTCAGACTAGAGAGTGAGATTATGTCTCCAAAAAATAAATAAGTAAATAAAATAACCCACACTCATACACCAAAACAGCAACAACAAATCAAAAAGCACGTGCGCATACTCACACAGGGATTTCAGTTTTTAGAAGGACAAAAGGGTCTGGTCTGCATCAGCTAGTGAACCCAAGAGCAGGAAAATCCCATCCTTTACATCCCCAACCTCAGGCACCAGTGGGAATCAGCCCTTGCCTGCCTGGCTCCTGGCTTGTGACCTGGTAAGCCAGCATCTTACCCGAAATGTCTGCTCCGTCTTCTCCCTGTGGGGCACCTGATCCAGAGTACCATCTGTCTGACTCCTTTTCAGGCCTGTTGTGATGTCAGGGACATTGCTGAAATCTGCAGGGGGAAAAAAAATGATGAAAGACACATGGGTGTGGTCATTCCAACCTTTAGAGAAAGAGCAATAGACAAGAGGAAGAAACAACATTTTCAGGCGCTTCTGAAGAAAGAGAACAACAGAATAATGGCTCCCCCTTGTCACCTTTCCTGTTGTGGTGCCAACTACTTCACTAGGCTCTAATCTCAAATAACGCATTTGGACCAGAAATCCAGCAGCAATGACCTTTGTTGGTAGTTCCCTATTTTTGGCTAAGAGGAGACAAAACTGCCGGGGATATCTTGGAAAAACCAATGACGTGATACCACGGACACCCACAAGTCACAACTTGTTCACTTGCAAGTGCGACTCCCTTTCTGGCATCAACCACAGCTTCATCCTGAGAGCAAACTCTTGTCAGCCTCCTTTCATTAGCGGTGAGTCTTAAAGCCTACACTTATAAACAGACACCACCTTCAACAATTCTCGCCACTCAAGTTAACCAAAGTCAAGAGAGATGGAAAGACCCGCCTCTACACAGAATCAGCACGGGGTTTTCTTCCACGTCTGGTGTTTGATAGACTGCCCCCTCCCTCAGCTAAGAACAACCAGATGGTTTCTGATCCCAAGGCATCTACAAGGAGTGAGCCCGTCTGAGTAGGCTGAGCTCAAAAATAAACGAGGTGACAATGGGACTGCTAGACACGACCAGGACAAAAAGCCACTGGGAGATCTGGAGACGCCAAGAGTTGAGTGGTGGAGAGGGATGCAAGTACTCAAATCCCACTGAAGATGGAGGAGATCCAGAACACAGCCGAGTGGTCCCCAGAAATCTGTAATTTCATCTTCTCTTTGCCTCTTCCAACATCCATCCCAACTTACATGGACACCAAGTCACACTCTAGACCATTGTTATTATAAAATTAAATAAGCCTAGGTGAAGTGGTGCCCATCACAAAGGTAGGAACGGCCCCTGGGCAAGTTCCATATAGCAATGAAGGCAAGTGTGTCTGGGATTGCCTCTCCCAGGCCCCTGTCACCACATGAAGCAACCCCCCACTAGCAGGTCCACTACAGAATAAATGAGACACTCAACAAAAATGTTCAACCTCAGTTCCTCCACTGTGGTGGCCTGACTCTGATGTGTGCTCACCTTTGTATAAGGGAGAGCAACTTTGTCATTAACACAAGGGAAATCTCCCTCTTCCCATGGACACAGCAACACAACAGTGCATCGCTCCACCCGTCCATCCATTCATGCGTCCAGTATGTGCTCCTGGTGCACCAGCTATTTCCCAAGAGACCATGAGAGGTGCTAGAGATGCAAAGAGACGTAAGAGAGTCTGGGGTCTGCTAATGGGAAGAGGCGAGTGGTGAGGGATGGAGGCCAAGGCTTGAGTTTAAAAGAACACACAGGGCTGGGTGGGACTCAGGAGGGAAACTCACTCTCCTGGCAATTAAAGGGTTTCATGAAAAGGAGGCACTTGACGGAGGCTGTAAATCTGAGGGATGCTTATTTGTCTTAAATATACAGGCAGTGAGGCAGGGCAGGCAACAAGGAGATTCCACGAGTGGGGAGCAGCAGAGAAAAGCCAAATGGTATGGAGAGTTGAAGCCAATCAGGGAACATGGCGAGTGTGTTCACAGAGAGCAGGGCCTGAGATACAGGAACGAGAGGAAGGCAAGGCCTGGGCAGCAAAGTCAGTCAAAAGGAGATGGCTTAGAAGGACCCAGACGTTTGCAAAATAGAGCAACAGCAAGTTTTCAAAACGGAAATTAAAAAAATGACAGAGCGTTTGAAGAGGTAAACCCCATACGGTCCTTCCTCCTATAAAGTGTGACAAGATTCAGAAAGCAAAGGCATCCAAGGAGATGCTGGATTTGGTATCTTAGGTGGCTCCGCTGATGGCCCTAGAAAGGGCAAGGCATGGAGATGTCAAGCTTAGTTTCAGCACTGCTCAGATACAACTGGATCTTCCAGCAGGAGGTGGTCAGTGGTCAGGCCAACAAGGTCTTCATAGATGTGGGCCTGGATGTCATTGGACGTCCTGGTAAAGTCACGATGCATGAAACCTACCACAGGAAATATGGAGATTCTCTCAAAGGGACCAAGGATGGCAGAGGGATGCAGCTCAGTTGGTAGAATATGTACCAAGCATGCACAAGGCCCTGAGTTCAATCCTCAGCACCACGTAAACCAGGCATGAGGTACAAGCCTGTAACCCCTGCATTAAGGAGGTAAAGACAGGAGAATCAGAAGTTCAAGGTCACCCTTGAACAGAGCAAGTTTACGGGACTGTCTCAAAAACAAAAAAAGACAAAAGAAAAACTGAGACCCTGGGAACACCAAAGCAAAGGGTGTGGGAGAAAACGAGACCCTTAAGAAGAGAAGTAGGAAGTCAGAGAAGCAGGAAGAGAAAGAGAGTACCATCGCAGAAGCCTCACAATGTGCAAGCACATCGCCTAGGTAACCAAATCAGATTAGCATTCTGCCGCCTTCACCTTGTAAACAGCAAGCTCCGTTATTTCCAGAGTTACCTCAAGCCCAGGAAATATGACACACTGGCCATACATGCTTCTATTCACAATGAAGATTTTGACAGTAGCCCTGTCACATCTGGCAGGTGCTGCGTGCTGGGGACAGAAACAAGACCGAGTCTCCAGTCTCATGAGGAGTTCAGATATACAAGGGCAGGAGCCCGGGAGCCTGAGGGGCCAGATGGATGGGAGTGAAAATAGCATGGGAGGTGTGGGAGTGGGTGCCGAGCTAATTCTGAGTCACTCATTGAATATATTCACAAAACTTTTCAGCTTATGGGAAACTCTCCCAGCCATCGTTGGTCTCATGTGCTCATTCACTTCCTGAGACCATGCCTCAGGTAAGGAAGAGAAAGGTGTGGCTTGTACTCAGTGACAGAACATGGATATACTTCCCGTCAACCCTGTCCACTCCAAGGACCCCCTCCACCACACTCGTCCTGACTGCTGAGAGCTTGTAGGTGCTGCTGGGGCTCCTCTGTGAATGCAGGCCTGGGCAGGCGGGTCCCTGGGAACGAAGTCTGTTGCACCATGCCCTGGGACCCAGAGAAGCGTGCTCTAGTCATCCCCGAGATCCAAGGTAGGAAATCTCGGAGCTGTCCCGCCATTCAGATGTCACAAGGCACAGTGTATCTAAGCACATAGAATCCCCAGGATGTCAATCATGAGCTAGCATTGTCCTGGAGATCGACAAGACTCTTGGAGAGGCAAGCTGGACAGGATCCATGGTTGCCAAACTGACTTCAAGAGTCTAAAACTTCAGCAGTGACCTCTGTGACAACAGCCACCTAGGACATGAACCTGTGGACATGTCTCAGGGTGTTTCTCCATTAGGTTAATTCAAGTGGGATGACCCACCCTAACTGCTGCTGTCACCATTCAGTGGGCCGGATGGGACACCAAGAGAAAACAAACTGAGCACCGGCACTCATCTCTCTCTGCTTCCTGACTGCAGAAGCAATCAAGCAGATGCCTCAAGCTCTCACTGGCTGCTGGCTTTCCCACCATGATGGACAGCAGCTTCCAAACTTCCCCACGTTCTGTTCGTAAGGAGACTTGTCATAGCAACAAATCAGGTAGTAGGTAACCTATGCAATCCACACTGAGCAAGCCCCGCGTGTTGTTTCTAGAGGAGAAATAAGGGGAAAAGTACATTCTGGAAGAATAGAAAACCAGCAATAAAAAGAGTGTAGGCTGGTCAAATCTGAATGCCTATGTACACAGCTGCTTAAGTATGCCGGATACTGAATGCCTACCCACAGCCGCACCCACATGCTGCCCACATCCTAAGCGAGAGCAGCTGAGTGAGGACATATACCCCATCTACCCCTGTAAAAATCCTGGGTTTTACCTGACCAGGCCTTCTCCCCAGGACATGCACAGTGACATATTTGAGGGGTTCTTCGTTGCTTCTGTAGGATCACACTAAGTGCATGCTCCCACCCACCCTGCACCCAGGGCTGTCCAGGATCCATGACGGCAATCATTAAAAAGCAGCCCAGTTGGAAACCCATCCACAGAGCTACTTTTGCAGGTGGCATTAAATTTATGCCCTCGTCTGTCTTGTGTGCCTTGTGGAAATCAAGTTGGGGGGGGAGGTCTTTCAAACTGAAAAACCAACCATTTAATACGGCCAATAAGAGCTTCTATTCAGCAGCTGAGGGAAGAAGGACGCAAAGAGTGACGTGAGCACCTACTCCCCCACATTTGATGTAGAGGATCCGGCATTCAGATGGGTACCAGTTCCTGAGCAGTCAACCAGGCACCACGTCAGGAGCCAGCCAGGCTGACTCCAAACTCAACTGCCTTTCCTCCTTTTATCAGAGGTGTCTTCTAGAGGTGGACAACATGCCATTCAGTCTGTCATGGAAAGTCACTGCCTCGGTACTAAGCCATATGCCCACCAGTTCTTGACAGACAAGCCGGGAAAACACAAGTCTTGAGGTATGAGACACCTAGTAATTCAGTGTCTCCCTGAACTGTGCGTCAGCACATGCCCCATTAGTGCCACTGACGGCCTCAAATCCTTCACGATTAAAGGGCAAAACCTGTGCTAAAATAGCATCTTGGGTACCAGCTTAAAAATAGAAACTCCGGGAAATGCTGAAGTTAAGAGCGTTCCCATTCACATACTTTTGTGATTTTTAAATCCACAGATTACAATTATATCACTTCCAAATCTGATCTAGCACATTTAATATGCAAGACCGCATCAGTTAGTGTGCAAGGAAGTAGGTTTCCTATTTCTTTCCTGTCCTGTCAGAAGCAATACCTCATGCGAACCCTGATAGGAACAAGGAGGAATTCTCTGAAACAGTGGCCTGGGGGAAGCTGGAAGGCGGCTTGTGGGCAGGGGTGTCCCTGTGGCATCCCACCTGAAGCTTGGTCCTGAGGAAGCCTGACTCTCGCTTGAGGAGTTAGTTGTGTTTGTCTCATCTACCTGGCACATCCCATAATCCCAGGTAGCAAAGGAATAGGGAGG